TTTGAAATTTAATTTAAAAGTTTGGGGTAAATAAGCCAAAAAATTATGCATTATTTTGGTAGGGGATGTTATAAAATTCTCTTCCAAAAACCCTGATGTTAATTTATTTTTAAAATCTTTATTCTTTAATACCTGCAGGTCAAAGTCTATAGCTTTAATAAAAATGGCTTGGTTTGGTTTTGCTTCCTTTTAGAAAAAGTCAGTTGCTTAGAATACAAAATGACCTCTGTCTGGTAAAATAATTGATTTGGGGTCTTCAGATTCTGATAAGACAACTTTAGCAGGTATGCAACTATTTCTAAGCCAGAGTTTCCAGGTGAAGCCTCTGAAAAAATGCCATATTGATGACAGTGACTAGTGTTGAGAAATCTTTTCAATCAATACTGACAGTGGGAAAGAGTTGACATAAATAACCATATCCTTCTCTTTGAAATGATAATCAATAATAGGAACTTGTAGAACAGTGATTTTTAAGCAAGTTGTGCATCAGAATTACCTGGGGAGCTTTTAACAACTACAGATGCCTGGCTCCACCCCTAGAGATTAAGTTTCATTTGGTTATGGTTGGGCTCAGACATTAGTATTTTTTAAAAGCCCCCTAGGTGATTCTAATGTGCAGTCTGTTAAGAGCCTATTTTAGGGCCTAAACATACAGCAGCTTTTTCAGCTCTTTGAAGAATCTTTCCCCAGTGACTAGAGCTGTCCTTTCCACTGAATTGCATCACAATCTGTTATCCAGAATGTTACACTGATTTACCTGTCATAGTCTAAAGCAACTTCTTACCTGTCATAGTCTAAAGCAGCTTGCATCAGAAGCTGTTGTTTTGGTGATGATTCACTGTCATCAGTGTTGAATCAAGATATTTTTCTAAAACATATTTGAATTAAAATTATATTTTGACACAAAAGTCCTTTTTAAATTTCATCAGTGGTGAATCAAAGTATTTTCCTAAATCTATATGAATTTTAAATTATATATTGAAAAAGTGCTTTTTAGATGTTTTTTATCAAATATTACTATTTTTGTTTTTGAATTATCACTCAGACAATAGTAAGTGTATTCATTTAGCATCTGTGCTTGAAATTATTTTGGTTCAGCAAAAAGAAAATTTGAAAACAAGTAAAACTTTGCTATTCTGCTACTAGAAGTATGTTGAAATGAAAGCATAACCTCTTATTAGTGTTTTCATTAGTGCCTGGAACAGTGATATAGAGCAGGCACTCTGCATTTTTTACCAAATGAGTAAATTTATGAAATCTTAAATCTGTCTTAACTTTGGGAGATTTGAGTACAGTAGAAAAGGAAATTCTATTTTACTGTTTTTGTCATTTTTTTTCTTACATGCTTATCCCTCTTTGAGGTCTTTTGGTTATGTGCTAGATTCTGTTTTAGTTGCTACAGGTGTAGCAATTAAACAAAACAGACAAAAAAATTCCTTCTCTCATGGAACTTACATTCTAATAGAGGGGATAGATAAATTTTTAAAAACATAATATGTAAATTATTATTATGTGGCGATATGCTCCTTTCCCTTCACCAGTTCATTCTCCTACTTTTTCCCCTAGAACTAAGGAAACAGGATTGCACCAAGGAAGGAGAAAGTTGTAGTTTTAACTAGGCTGGTGAGGGAAGACCTCATTGAGAAGATGCCGTTTGTTTAGAGAGCTACAGATGAGGGAGCAAGCTGCGTTGCTATCTGAGAATATATCAGACAGAGAGAACAGCAGGTGCAAAGGCTCCAAAGCAGGAGTGGGCCGGCTGTATTCACAGAATATTCAGGGTGCTAGTGAGGCTAGAGCAAAGAGCACAGGCAAAAGTAGAGAGCTGGCCAGAGAAGCGTGGGGTGGGGGCTGGGCGAGGCCCATACTCTGTAGGCCTTGTAGCCACGATAGTTCTTTGTCTGTTACTCCGAGTGAGATGGGGAGCAATTGGTGGGTTCTGAACAGAGGAGTGACATGATCTAACATAAATTTTTTAACACCATCACTCTTGCTGCCACATTGAGAATTGCAACAGATGGGGAGAGGCAGGGAAAACAATTAGGAGGCTTTTTGGTAATCTAGTCAAGGAATGGTATGGACCAAAGAGAAGCAGTGGAAGTAATAAGAATTGATCAGATTCTGTTTTGAAGGTGGAACCATCAGGATTTGATGACTGGTTGGACATGGATGTGAAAAGAGTCAAGTTTAACTGCAAGGTATTTGGCTTAGCAACTGGATTCTGGAAGGAGAGAGTAGCCATTTACTCAGATGGAATGTCCTTAGAAGGACCTGGTTTTAGGGGGAAAATGAGGAACTCAGTTTTCACTCTACTTAATTTTGAGATATCTATTAGACATCCAAGTAGAGATGTCAAGTGGACCATTAGGTATCGAAGTCTAGAATTCAAGGAAGAGGTCCAGACCAGAGATAATAAATTTGAGAGTTGTCAACACATAGTTATCTAATATTTAAAGTTATCTAATATTGGATAATATCACCAAGGGAAAGAACATTCATAGAGAAGAGACCTACAGGGAGAGACCCTGGGGCACTCCGATATTAAAAGGTCTGAGGAGTGCCAGTGAGAGGGGGGAAAACCAGGTGGAGAAAATGTTCCATGGAGAAGGGCGTCATCAACTGTATTAAATGCTGCTGATAGAGTAAGATGAGGACTGAGAAATGTTGGTTGGACTTGGCAGCATGGATGACTTTTGTACATTTAATCCTCACAAGAACCCTATGAGGTAGATGGTATTTTTGTCCTTATTTTACCAAATTAAGAACAAAAAGTTTTATGGTCATCAAATAATGTGTCCAAGGTAAAACACTACTGAGTGACAAATCTGGGTATTAAACTCTAACTGCTAACCTATACTTCCTTTTTATATAATCTAGACTTTTATTTTGAAAAACATTTGAAACTATGGGGAAATTTAGATTAATGTAACAAAATATATCTTCTACTCATTAGATTTAATATTTTCTAAAATTTGATTCAGATATACATTTTTAAATAAGAGAAATAAAACATTAGTCATTCATTCAAAAACATATTGAATGCCTACCAACTGCCAGTTGCTCATTCTGGGCACTTGGAATAAATAGGTGAAGAACATAAAGATTCCTGCCCTTAGACGAGAGAAAATAGATAATAAACAGTAATTATACGTTAGAAGGTGATAAGTGGTATGGAAAAAGAAAAAATATATATATAGCAGGGCAAGGGGGGTCAGGAGTATTGGGCTGAGAGGTACAAGGCAAGTTGCACTTTTTAATAGGGTGGTCCAAATAGGCCTTATTACAAAAATGACATAAGGAAACTTATCTGGGGGAAGATAGTTTCAGACAGATGGAATAGCCAGTGCAAAGGAGGAGGAAGACATGAAGTTCCCTTTATTCCCTTTTCTAATCCATTCTCTTTTTCTCACCAGAAGCAACTGAGACTGTGAAGTAAATGTGTATCCTTCCAGTCTTCATTTTTTTTTTTTATTTCCTTTTTGTCTTTTTTCGTGACCGGCAACGGATCACAACCCTCAGTGTCGCGCCCGTACCGGACCGGGACCGGCAACGGGATCGCAGCCCTCGGTGTTGCCCCCGCAACTCGCTCAGCCAGTGAGCTGCCGGTCTGTATATGGGATCCGAACCTTCAGCGGGAGCGCTGCCGCGCTCCCAAGCGGCGCACTGTTAGCAGTGAGCCACCGGGCCGGCCCCCAGTCTTCATTTTTATACTTTTAATATATATATGTGTGTCCATAAACAGTATTTAATATTGTCTGGTTTTGATTTATGTAAATAATGTCATACCATATTTGCTTTCTTTTGTTCAAAATTAATGATGAGCAAAATATATAAATCTAGTTTGTCCATTTTAACAGCTATTTAATATTCTGTAAATATGCCACAATTTATTGTCCCCCCGTTACAGTGTTGTATTAATGATTTTAATACACATTCTCTTCTGCATAAGTGACAGTTTTTAAGATTTTATATCTAGAAATGAAATAGCTGGGCTATTCATGTGCATTTTCAACTGTATTAGGTACTGCCAAATTGTTCAATTGCTGACATCAACAGTGTATTAAGGGTACTACTTTCTGTCCTCACCAACCTTTGGTGTTGTTGGTCTTTCATTTTTGCTAGTTTGATGGAGTGAATTTTTGTTTTTATAGTAATTTCCCAGATTACTAGCAAGATTGAGCTCCTTTTCAAATGTTTATTGGTCATTTCTACTCTTCTCCTTTGCCCATTTAGTTATTGGCCTGCTTTTTCTTACTGATTTATATCATTTTTTAATTTAAAGTAATCTTTCTAAATGTTTTCTTTTCCTTTTTTTTTTTTTTTTTTTGTGGATGGCCAGTACAGGGATCCAAACTCTTGACTCTAAATGCTTTCAGAGAAACTAAAAGGACTACAGAGTATTTTGTTGCCATCAACGGCTAAGTGATAAAATTTACTTCTGATTTTTTAAAACTTGTTTTCTTTAGTAATTACTGACTTATTCCTACAACTTAATAAGCCAACTCTTATTTCTGTAAATTGTGGATTATGCTGTCTCTTAATTGCCTGCTGCCAACCTAGCACAGGGTGGAAATGTTCAAAAAGTGAAGTAAAATTAAAATCAGAAATTACTTTATAAGCTTTAATAGAATATTTGATTGGGGAAAGCATAGAGCATAAAGCATGTTGTTACAGGATGTGTGTGTGTGTATTTTGATAAACCATGCAATTTAGTTTCCCACATTGTTCCTCTATTCCCATCTTTTCTAATAGTATTGTTGTTATAAATATATAAAAGTGGGGCTGGAATACTTCCTTTTGAGATCGTCATTATCAGATACTGAATATCAAGCCACATTATTATACTATCGACTCTTTCCTGTCAAATATAACAAGTACTTAAAAAAAAAATAGTGCTGCTTGGACACATAATGCCCTAAATCTTATTTTATCTAGATATAGAAAGTTTATATATTTAAATGTAACAATCCTTGGGTAAATTGTATCTTACTGTCTTTCAGATTAACAAATAGAAATATTATACACAATCCTGCAGAGTGGACTTTAATTGCTATGGTGTTGCTGTCATTGTAAGTACTCTTTTAACTCTAAATCCTAAATATGAAGAATTTTGATTAGGGAAAAACAGAGTTATTCACTGATCTTGTAAACTGCCATGGAAAATGTCATGCCTCTATTTAGTGCCATATTTTCCCTTCCTATAAGGTAAAATAATTTTCATGTAGTGATATGCCATATTTCGATAAGCTCTAATCATTCTCTTTATATTTGTTACCATCTTTTCTTCTGAGGACCTTTTTCTTCACAAATACTATTTGTTACCATCTTTTGAAAGAAAATAACATCCCTATGTGTGTTGTATACTAAACTAAATAGAATAGAATAGTTCTTTAGTTTCAATTTTAATAGTTCATTTTATTAACATTGAACACGATTTATTATTTTAAATCTGTATTTTTACATATCTAAAGCTATTTCATTTTTCTTCAACATATTTTATCATTAACAGCATCAGAAAAGTTTTGTTTTCCAAATTAATGTACATTTTCAAATCTAAAAGATTTAAAGGAACTAAAGTAGATGCTTACTATACATGCATGCATAAAACATTTAATACTCATTCACCTTTTGAGAAACCACTAGTGGTTTCTAAGGCTATTTTTCAACAGAATTAAAACACATTTAATAAGTGTAGTGTTTTTCAGCTTGAATTGCAAAAACTTTCTTTTGAGGACCATTTATTACTGCATTACTGTTGCTGCTTGGTGCTTGTTAGGTCATTGAAGCCCACAGGACGTTGAAAACTTACCAGACACTCAAAGGTCAAGAAGTGTTATGAGTCAACCTCATAGCGACTCCAGCCCTGCTCTCTTGTTCTTTGATATTACTCAGTCTGACATGTTATTCTGGCTTCACTGTCCCAAGGAAGGCTGTGCTGGGAAGCATTAGAGTAGGCTTCAGTGAGCCAGAATCTGTGTCACCCAACCAGATACAACTCACATGATTCATTAAATCAGAACACAGAAAATAACTTTACTTGAATGCCCCGATATAAATTTTTTATCAACCATAAGAACAAATCTTTTGTCATTTTACTATTCAGTGTTCCGGTTGAATTGATAATTTGTGAAACAGATCTTATTAATTTTTTAGAAAGTTCTTTCCATTTTATGAAATTTGTAAATATTTCGGTCACTGGCATAGAAAATATCAGTATCTCTGCTCACCCACCATATCATATGCCTGCTAATAAGCCCTCGTAGACAACTCTTTAACTGTACTTCTGCAATTCATTATACTAAAGGAAAAGTAACTTTTTTGATTGACAAGTCAGAGGCCTAGGCGCAGTAGTAATCTCAGAATCTTGCTTTCTAAGCCAGTGACTGCAAGTATTATCTTCAGGAGCAACTGCTTAATGAGAACACATTAGGTCCTACTTTTTTTGGACTTATTTTGTATTTTTGCCACATCTCTAAAATGTATAGCAAGGAACCAAAAAAAAAAAAGGAATGGAAAATGAAATAATAAAGGCTACCATTAAAATTTTATATGATCATGCAAAAATATACCTCTAGTGTTTGATTTTAATAGAGGCACCCATGTGGCACAAAGGTATTGAAAGCTTTGCTAATCTTTTTATGCACAATTTGACTTCCCTAACTTTGGATGTAATGTAGGGAACCTCTTATTTCAAGGGTTAGTGGCCCATAAAAATAGTAATTTAATTGAACTCAAGAAACAAACTGCACACACCTTAGGTGTATTGCATGCTTCACATTGTGCAGTCAATCTTGAAGTTGTAGCAGTAAACACTGACATTTCCTTTTGTCATTTGTATTGCCTCCTTTTTCATTATGCCCTTACCCCTAGAGCTAGGGCTGATCTTTCCCTAGTCATTGGTCTATTTGATCCCTGGACAACTAAACTCCTTTCCAGTTAGGACCCTTTTGGCTACTGTTTAAAATCTTTGGTCACTGTAAACACCAAGTAAGATGGTGCTTCCTAGGTTTTTGCCTTTGGAATCTTGTTTTTTCATAATTCTGTCTAATTTTTGCCTTAGGCCCTCCTTGCAAATCCTTTCCATTCTGCATTTGCAGATTCTGTACATTAAATATAAAATAGAGTTCGAAGATAACACATCTTTCCATGAACTTTTTGAAGACCCCTTGTATTAACATTAAAAACATTTGAACCACAATATGTAGCTTACCATTATATACAGATAGGAATTTTATACCTATATAAACCCAGAAAGAAATTTGATCAAGTAGAGTTGGTACAGTTGATTATTGTACACTCACTGAAATGCATCTATATATGAAAGTACATCATGACCCACTCCCACCCCATTTAGATTTCTTACTAATTCCTGGGACTTGAATCTCCTTATTCTTTGATCATCAGCTTCTAAGACTTCTGTCTCTTGCTCCCATATTATTTTATTTCTTAAAGTCTCCTTTAGCTTTTCATATTTCTGCCCCCCCAGGGAATCTGTGGCTCAACCGATAGTCCCTTTCATTCCCATGTTTGTCTTTTTATCACCCTTTTACAGTAACTATTACTGAACAAGTCAGGAGTAAAATTAAAATATATACTCATCATGTTAAAACTGATACCATTGACTTCTATAAAGTATAATAGTACTTTAATTTATATTTCCACCCTTCTTTCCTCCCACTTACAGTTCAGAATTACTTTTTATGGGTTTTTTTTGTTTGGTTTTTTTTTTTTTTTTGGTTTTGGCAGCTGGCCAGTACAGGAACACAATTACTTTTTAAAGTTGAAGGCATTTTGTCATTGAGGAAAAAGCAGGCATGAGGGCCAACACTGGATAAAGAGCCTTACAGTGAAAAATATAGAGACTGTATGCACCAAAAAAAAAAAAACGGGCACATATAAAGAGAAGGGGGAAACACATACAGACATATTTATGGGTCAGTAACCCTACCTTTGAACCTTTTCGCTTATTGCCACTAATATTGAATACAGGCATACATGTGAGTATCTTTTTAAAAAATAATTATTCTGTTATTCAGAAAGCCTTTGCATTTACTCAAATTTCCAATGGAATTTTTTTAGTCATAACTTATAGGCATTTCTGGAATTCATGTTAAATAAACTTCTTGTAAGTCTTTATAGCTAGGAAAAAGATTCTGAATGGCAGTTGTAGTCCCTGAAGATGAATATATGATAATATGTTCAGCATATTATGACAATAGTACTGTTCTTTCTGTATGAGTATTGCAAAGTTTTGTTATTACTAGCATTTGCTTCATGCATGAAAGCTGTTTTCAAAATTCTTGTGAACCACTTTGAAAAGGATACATATACATACGTATATATGATTGTGTTAGTATGTTGCTGTACTTGTTCAAGTCTAATTCTTGTTAAAGGAACGTGATAGTCCAGAACAACAGAAACAAAGCTGGGTTTTGAATTTTTATGTCTGTATTCTTAAAAGTAAATAAGGTATTTGTGTAGCAAATCTTCTTTTCCTGGTTACTTCCATTGTACTTTCACAAATGTACAAAAGTACTTCAAAAAGTTCATGGAAAAATGGAATTAAAAGATAACACACATCTTTCCATGAACTTTTTGAAGACCCCCTTGTATTAATATTAAAAACTTTTGAACTACAACATGTAATTTATCAGTGTATACTGATGGGAACTTTATACCCATATAATCTCAGAAAGAAATTTGATCGAATAGAGTTGGGACAGTTGAACATTGTACATTCAGTGAAATGTACCTATATGTGAAAGTACATCATGACCCATTCCTACCCCATTTAGATTTCTCACTAATTCCATGGGTCTTGAATGGGTCTTGTGATTGCAACATTTATTGGTACTTACATTGTGTATTCAGACCCTTACTGGTTGCCAAGAGCACATGGAAAGACCTTTTAAAGCAGAGCTTAAACAGTATCCTTTTATTTAATAATGAAGGAATTAATGTTCTTTTAGTCCTCCCATTTTTATTAAATAAATGTTATTAAGATTCTCAAGAACTCCTTACACATAGAAGAACATCTATAATAGTGATAGTTGATTGACCCAGTATTTCTTTTTTTAAGAACTGATTAAAAATATAATAATCTGGTAATTCTGAGATTTATTGCTTAAGCACTTGGTTATAATTTTGCATCTCAGTCGAACTTTATCACGCTTTACTCTTACATCAAGTTTTGCTCTTGGCAAAGGTACTCTGTATTGAAATAACACAAAGTTGAATCTGATTTTCCGGAATATATATGCTCTGGTAAGATGTTAGGCTCTCTCCACAGTCTTTGATGCAGTGACATTTTTTAAAATTTGTACAAATATATAGTCAATCTTCTGTATTTTAGTATCTATATACCCCACTGTGTACAGCTTGTTAATGTGCTTACATATTTTTATATGTTTATATACCAAATAAGAAAGCACAACAAACTGCATAAGTGTATTTTATCATGCAGTATCATAGTGTATCGTATACTTGTGTATATATTCCTTATAATTCCCATCTTACCCACAATATAGGACACCAGAACGTGAAGAATCACTTTTCATTATAGTTACAATATTTAGAATAGTTTATTTGAGAAGATTTTGACTGGTACTTTGAGAAGATTTTATTGCTATAGGACACCTCCAACAGACCTGTCCCTCTTCTTTCCTTCGTTCTTAGTTTTCCCCAGTCTTCTTTGACTTCTATCATTATACTTGAGCCTGTAACACAAGGGGGAACTATCCCAATGCTGACCTAAAGCTAAGAAATCGAGGGAAAGAACCACACCAAAACTGGCAGCCAAATAGAAACCATACAGGAGGCTATCAAGATGCAGATAACTGGCCTGAGTTCCTTTATGTGCAGCCAGCATGCAAAAATGGGAATCAAGTTTCTTCCAGAGTGCTTGTACTTAAAATATAACTTTTTCAGCCAAGTTTAATATGGAACCTCTGTAAATAGTTCACTACTTTGTATTCTGATGATCTATGGTTAATTGAAGCATAGGAGTCAAATGTTTTTTAATGAGTGACCAGGGAGAGAGATATGTGTTGTATTCCATGGGAATTATTTG